GACTGGAGTGGCGGATCAGGTGGCCGCCGTGTCGTGCGCCACCTCGCCGGCGGAGGCGGCTCTGGTTGTGTGGATCGGCGCCGCGGCGCAGCTGGCGCGCGCCGTCCAGCTGCTCAATCTCTCCCCGCATCTCCCCACATCTCCCCACATCTCCCCACATCTCCCCACGGCCTCTCCCCTCCCCGCAGGCGCGAGGGCGCCGGCGCTTCCCGGTGCGGCCGCCGGTGCCGGTGCCGTCGCGCCACTGCTGGCGCTGCTGGCGCTGTTTGCTCTGTCCGCGGCCGCGGGCGCGTTGCCCTCCGTGCCGCTCGCGGCTGCGATCGTCGGCGCGCTCCTCTCGTCTGCCGCAAGCGAGGCTGTGGGCGCCGTCGCGGCTGGCCGAGGAAAGGGGCGGCCGGAGTGTGCCTCTGCAGCGTGTGGGGCCAGAGTGTGGGGCCAAAGGAGTGTGCCTCTCCCCTCGCCGCTCGTCGCTGGGCCGGCGCTGAAGGCGAGACGCTTCCGAGACGCTTCCGAGACGCCTCCGAGACGTTTCCGAGACGCTTCCGAGACGCTTCCGGGACGCTTCCGAGACGCTTCCGAGACACCTCCCGAGACACTCGTCTCCTCACCGCGACCGCACAAGTCCGCGCCTGCTCCCTAGTACTCTCCCAGCCCCTCTCCGGACGCCTCTCGGAGCTGACCGCAGGCGCTGCCCGCGCTGGCGCTCTGCTTCCACGCCCGCCCGGCGCAGCGGCACAGCTTGGCCGCCGCTTCTCTCTTCGCCGTCGCCGCCGCGCTGGGCGGCGCGGCGGCCGTCGCCACACGGCTGGCCGAAGGCCCGCCCTCCGACGTGGCGTACTAGATGGTTCCAATCCGCCTTTCGCCCCCGATCCCCAGAACGATTGCACGTCCGTCTCGCTGCGAGCCTCTACCGCCAGAGTGTCCTCTGGCTTGACCATCCTTCGGGTCCCGGCAGGTGCAGAGCTGGGAGCGGCTGGCGGCGCGCCGTGTCGCGGCGGAGCTGGGCCGGGGACCGGCGTCCCTTGGCGAGGCGGCGCCGGTGGCGCTGGCGGCGGAGGCGGCGCCATTGGCGATGGCGGAGGCGGAGGCGGAGGAGGCGGCGGTGGAGGCGGCGTCGGAGGCGGCAGAGGCGGCGGAGGCGGCGGAGGCGGCGGAGGCGGCGGCGGAGGCGGTGGTGGAGGCGGTGGAGGCGACGGCGGGTGGGGAGGTGGGTGCGGGGTGGGAGGGCGGCCTCAGCGACGCCGCTCACGACGGCGACCGCCCGCTCCACCCGGCCGAGCTGTGAACGGCGCCTCTTCACACCTCCCGGCTGTGAACAGGTGACCGCCCGCTCAACCAGCCGCTCGCCGACAAGAGTGGCGAGCAACGCACGCACGCAGGCCGCGGCGCCTTCCCCTCAGACGCCGCCGCGGCTGCCACCGCCGCGGCTGCCACCGCCGCTGAGGCGAACCGGCAATCCGCTTCCGCTCCCTCTTTCGCCGCCCGGGCGGCGGAGGAGGAGGAGGAGGAGGCGGCGGAGGAGGAGGAGGAGGAGGAGGTGGAGGAGGAGGAGGAGGAGGCGGCGGAGGAGGAGGAGGCGGCGGAGGAGGAGGCGGAGGAGGCGGAGGCGGAGGCGGAGGAGGCGGAGGCGGAGGAGGCGGCGGAGGAGGCGGAGGCGGAGGCGCGGCGAGTCGCGGAAGAAGAGGCGGCGGCGGCAGCTGCTCAGGCTGAGGCCGACGAGGCTGCATTGCGGGAGGATGAGGCTGCCGCAGCGGCGGCGGAACGGAGGGCGGCGGCGGAGGCGGCGGAGGCGGCGGAGGCGGCGGCGGTCGCCGCCGCGGAGGCAGAGGCGGCAGAGACGGAGGCGGCGGCGGCGGCGGCGGCGGCGGCGGCTACTGAGGCTGCCGCAGCTGCAGCGGCCGAGGCGGCGGCGGAGGAGGAGGCGGAGGCGGCGGAGTACGAGGAGGGGTACGAGGAGGGCGACTTTGAGGAGGGGTGGAGGAGGAGGAGGGCGAGGAGGGGTGGAGGAGGA